CAGTTAATCAAAAATACGATGTTTATTGTTTATTACAAGAGACAATGACCTTGATAAAACAACAATATGACAATAATAATAAATATAATAATAGTCATTATGATAATGATGATGAAGATGATGATGATGATGATGATGATGATGATGATGATGATGATGATGATAATGATGATGATGATGATAATAATTAGATTACTTTTTTTTCCTTTAGGCATTTTTACTAGTCCTGCAGGAATCAGCGGGAACAACATACAGGTATACACCAGTTAACTCTTTAAAAGACGCACATTTTGTTCACTCGACAACAAGCTGTTTTCGGGGCCCTTCAAAAGAGAAACAGGCCTTCATTATACATCCACGCAAGTTTGTCAATTCTGTTTTCTTCATTTAAAACTTAAAATAAAAGTAGGCAGCAACGTACGTATTACAAAATATGCAAATTCGTTATTCTGATTTGTGTTTGATGGTTCTAAATGAGCCGCAACGTTGCCTTTGGTCTGCATCTGGTCGGACATAATATTGTGTTCACTATGTCTTGAAAGACTTAAATAAGTCCCGCATTGACCCCATCTATAGAAACGTACGTGAGATTTTCCACAGTCTTCGACAATCTGTCCATGATCATAAACTCCTCAATGCCGAAGAACGTGATAGAGTTGGACATGTTGTATACCTGAGACAAAACAGTACAGAGCAGTTCAAGAAATACAGAAGGACGTGGATAGACATTAATTGTTAAAGGAGAGTTGATTACATAACCGTCCTATATAATACATGTAGTACGTGCGTGAAGTAGAAAGGAGAATATAGAAAGTTTTAGCAACCGTTTTACGGCGCTTGCAACACAATACGGTCACTTAAGTGCCGAAGATTAGAAATGTTACAATGAGAGAGTGTAGACAGACACGAAAAAGAGGAAAGAGAGATCAGGAATATAGATGTTTGATGAGGAAAGAAGGAGCAAATCACACCAGAGTACCCGCCAACCACCCGCAAATATCGAAGGAAATGAAATCAAATGGAGTTGTGCTGAAAAATAAACCACCACAAGGACTATCAGCCTAGGAGGAAGGGTCGAAATTTCCTGCTTCTAAAGGGATCAATTATGTCGATCGTAATAATATTACAATCAATCAATTTAGTTGTTTGTCAGAATGTCTGTTTAAGCTTCTTGGAGCTTCCTGTCGTTTTTCTTTACTTTTTACTTTTTTTTCCTTCTATTTTTAGTTTCAGCATCAAGAACAATAAGAGCAACAACAATAACAACTACATCATCAACAAAAACAATTATAACAACAAGAACAACAATAACAACAACAGTATTCGTACACAAATGCACGCCCACAAACAAACAAACACACACACACACATACACACATAAAAACACACCCTCTCTCTCATACACACTCTGTACACTAATGCGTACACACACTAACACGCACACACACACACACACACACACACACACACACACACACACACACACACACACACACACACACACACACACACACACTTACCTCTTCCGTAAATTTTTCCTGCTCGAAGCTGAAGTGTTTGGGTAGGTGGGATTTCAGTTGCTGGTACTTGATGTGTCTGGGTGAAAAAAAAATGTTATTATTTATTATTTAGTGAATTTATTACGAGATGAAGCTGCCGTGGGGCAGGAGAGGAGAAAACAGGGGTGGGGGGGGGGGGTGGGGGTGCTATGGATATTAAAAGGTAATTCTGTATCTTATTTGAAACTCTTAATAAAAAGTCAATCTCAAGAAAAGGATACACCTGTTTCTTATGTTGAAAAGATGAATGAAATGACGACGGTGCTACGTGCTTTTACACTGTCACACATAGACCGGTCGTCAATACGTATGGGTCTGGACCGATACGTAGGCTGGACAAATCGGCGTACAGTCGAGGTAAGAGTCCCCCCCACTAACCCTTCCCCCCTGAAAAAAGAGAATTGAACCCGGATCTTCTGCGGGCGAAGGCAAAGCGCGTAAACACTACACGTATCACATAAGCTGATGCCGCCCCCCCCCCCTTGCGCCCCCGGTCTCTTCTCAAATTTTCAAACAAACCATACGAAAAGTTTTACCCGTCAGCATCAGTGTCCAAGCGCTGGAACGTCTGCCTCAGTTCCTCCTGCTCGTCTTGAGGCACAGAAGTAATGAGCTCCACACCCTGCAGACAGAAATGAAGTGCAACAGAATAAATATAAGGGCTTTAAGTCTTTTAGTACCACGATGTATCAGCCCATGGCTGTACGGTACTCTGAAAAGAATTGATGTATCGGATACGGTACTGAAAGAGATACAAAATAACAATTTTAACCCCTTAACTTCCTGGCCCGAACCTGTTTTGGGACTTCCTTTATAGGATAGTGGAACATGCCTGGCACTGTAAGGGTTAGTGCAGTTAGTTGTATACGTTTCATGCCATTTTCGACAAAAATTAGATCATTTTATGTGGGTGGTTGGTGGGTGCTCTGCTGTGGTCTGCTCCTTCTTTCCTATCAAACATCTATCGTCCTTATCTCTCCTCCTTTTTTGCGTTTGTTACTCTCTTGTAACACCTCTAATCGTCGGCTCTTATTGACATTGACATTGACGATTTAGTTGTTTGAGGCTCTAAGTAGAGCCTGTTCAACTATCTGGTAATGAACGACAATAATGCATGGCGTTCAGGCTAGACAAATCAGTTTTGGCAGGCGGGGTTGTAAATAGTTGGGAGATCTTTCCAGTATTCGTCCAGACGTCTCTTAAATGTGTCCACGTTTAGAGCTGACACCACTGATCCGGGAAGATTGTTCCAAATAGTATTAACCCTATTCTCAAGAAAGTTTGCCCTCACACACAATCTGCTTCTTTGCTTCTGGAGCTTCTTTGAGTTGCCACGGAGTTGTGTAGTTGTTGCCTTTGTAAACGCTGGTCTTTCAGTGATGTAGTAGCCCTTGATATACTTGTACGTTTCTGTCATATCACCACGTAACCTACGATGTTCCAGGGATGGAAGCTTTAGTTTTTTCAGTCTTTCAGAATAAGGCTTTTTTTTTAGGCGACTCAGCATTTTGGTAGCCCGCCTTTGAACGTGTTCGATTTCACTACATAGTCCTTTTTCAAAGGGTTGCCAAACACAGTGTGCATACTCCAATAAAGGCCTCACCAAACTCTTATACAGCAAAACAAACATATCCTCTGAAAGGTAGTCAAATGATCGCCTAGTTAGTCCAATAATACGGTTAGCTATTGATGTCATCAGGGCTACGTGCTCCTTGAAGGTTAGTTTATTATCGACAACAACTCCTATGTCTTTCTCTCTCTTTGTTACATTCAGTTTGTGTCTTGAGGTGCTACCATCCACTGCTTGGTCCATAAAGTATTCGTTATCATTGTCTTTACCAACTTTTAAGACACAATACTTTTGCGGGTGAAAACGAAGTAACCATCGTTGAGACCATTCTTGGAGGGTATCCAAATCATCCTGTAAATTTTGCGGTCCATTCACGGTATCACTTCTAACGTAGAGCTTTGTGTCATCAGCGAACATTTTGGCCGTCGTTTTAAGTCCTCTGGGAAGATCGTTGATGTAAATTACAAACAAAAGGGGGCCTAGAACCGATCCTTGCGGGATTCAACTCGTAACTTCAGCCTCCTCCGACCGTGATCCATTTATAACAACTCGTTGTTTTCTGCTGGTCAAGAAGTCCCTAACCCACTTGAGTACTCTCCTTCTAACACCACATGCTGAGAGCGTCTGTATAAGTCGCCTATGGGGAACGGAGTCAAAGGCTTTCTGATAGTCCATATAAATGACATCCACTGACCCTCCTTCATCCATAACACTCGTCCAGTCATCTAAAGCTTCCAATAATTGTGTTATACATGAACGCCCAGTGACGAATCCGTGTTGGTCTTTAGAAATCAGCATGTTGTGTACAATATGGTCCATTGTGTGCTCTCTTACGAGCTTTTCAATAACTGCAGATGACACATGTTAGGCTCACAGGTCGATAATTGTTAACAGCCGCCTTGTTACCTTTCTTGAATATTGGTGACACAAATGCCGTTTTCCATTCCACTGGTAATACTCCATCATTTAGTGTCCTCCTAAAGAGAATTCTTAGAGGTAGTGCAAGTATGTCAGCTGCCCGGGATAATACTTTGGGAGGGATGGCATCTGGTCCCGTTGCCTTGTTGACATCAAGACTAATCAAAAGTTCTCTTACTTTCACCGTTTCAATATTGAAGTTCTGTGTTGTACTCATACTCTTCAAAGTCTGGGAGTGGTCCTGTGTCCTCGTTTGTAAAAATACTCTGAAAGAATTTATTTAGCAGTTCTACTTTCTCTGTATCTGATTTTGTCTTTGTCCCATCGTCCTTGTTTAGGTCAGCGATAACGGTCTTACTCTTAATCTTTGAGTTGGCATAACTGTAAAATATCTTGGGGTTCTTCTTTGCCCCAATAGCTAGTTTCTTTTCATAATTCCTGTTTGCCTTCCGACATGCTTTCCGAGCCTTGTTGTTGGCCTTATTGTATGCTATTTCATCCGTTGTCTTTCCCGTCCTATGCCATTTTCTGTATGCACGATGTTTCTTCCTCACTGCCTCTAATGTGTCTTTATCCATGTATCTTATATATGACCTTATTGTGTTGCAAGAGCCGTAAAACTCTTACTAAAACTAAAAGATCATTTTATTTAGGAAGTTAGCTTCTTCGACCCCCAAGAACGTACCCCCTACATTAAAATTTATCATGGGGCCCGACATGCCAGCAGATTGGATTGTTTCCTTGTAACACCTCTAATCTTCGACACTTATATTACCTTATTGTGTTGCAAGTGCCTTAAGTCTTTTACGGAAAAAAGAAGTCTTATACCTTACTGAAAATGCTCGCAGGGCCTGATAAAGAAGCCATAATTTTGGGACTGCTTGGTGTGTAAGACTCCGCCATTTCGCCATTTTGAAAAGTGACGTATGACGGGCGTCTTGTACCAAAGATCGTACTTAACAAGAGTTCACTCACGGAAGTCCACCTTTCTTTCGTTTCTCCAGAAGAAGAATAGGAATAGCACAGTTTATTCGTTTCATTGTTATTGTTTTTTCACACAAGTAGGGTAACTCTGATTGAAAAGTCCGCATTTTTTCGAAGAGGGCGCCACCGAATTTGGCGGACACTTTTTTAATTGGGTCTACTACTACTACTACTACTACTACTACTACTACTACTACTACTACTACTACTACTACTACTACTACTACTACTACTATTATTATTATTATTATTATTATTATTATACTTATTGTTTTTGTTGCTGTTGTTGTTATTGCTGTTGTTGTTATTGCTGTTGTTGTTGTTGTTGTTGTTGTTGTTGTTGTTGTTTTTGCTGTTATTATTATTATTATTATTATTATTATTATTATTATAATTATAATAATAATAATAATTATTATTTTTATTACTCACTCTGAGTGGGTGGGGCGTGGTCGGCTTCTGCTTCTCCTCTGTGGTTGGCCTGACCTTGCTCTCACTAGAGATGGGCGGTATCTGCGGCAAGACTGGCGTGGTTCGGGCTGTCAGTGGGAAGCCAGGGGCGGGGTCTTCTGTTTCATTGGCTCCACCCCTTCCTTTCTCTTTCTGCCTCGAGGATGCTAGCTCAGACGTAGCTGTTGGCGCTGTCAGCTCAGAATCTCTTGCTCTGATGTTGAGAAGACATTCAAATCACAACGATGCAAATACACATCATGCACATTATATTATCTTTTCTTGAAGAGCATGTGTCACGACGTGGTGGAATCATGCGCTCGTCAATTTTTGACAACTGGAGTTATTGTTAAACTTAATGTTATCGTCTCTTTGCTTGTTTTTTTTTTTTTTTGGTCTCGCTTTTGATATTTGCAATTGAAGGAGGTGGGGATCTCCTGGCTTCAGACTTTAAATTATGGAGAAAGTGGACACCAAAGCTTGAGAGTCCTTAGAAACTGCAAATCTACATTTTTTTTTCATCTTTGATCAATATTTTTCTGTAAAATTCCCTTGTAAATGTTTTTAAATTGACATTGAAGGTGTTGAGCCCCCTCCCCCCCCCCCCCCAAAAGAAGAAAATTCGAGAAAAAAAAGTCCAAAATGGCCATAAAAATAGGCCTATACATTTCTTTGATTACATTATTTTGTCGAGCGCCTGATTTCACCACAATTATTTATACTGGTTATAGTTTAGTTTGGCGAACCATGAAATACCCAGCTCTGACCACATCGACTTTATCCTCATTACTGCTTTTCTTGGGATCTCGAATTCTTTCCAAAGTCCTTGGAGGACTCACGAAGTTGCAACAGTCCTATAAACACTCCCACTCCCATCCCCACCCCCACACCCCACACCCCACACTTTCTGTTTCAGTTTCTAATAGTTTGAATATTGTGCTTTTTAAAAATTATAGCTTATACTCATTGACTTACAATCACAGTCGAATCTGCTCTAAGTCTAACGACCATCTGTTTATCCTGGACAATCCCTGGTACAAATTACCGCTTCGCCCCTCTCCCTTTTTACCATTTTTTTCATCTGCGTGTTCTCTATGTCATAACGACTGTCCAAGAGGGTAACTGTCTAGGATGACCACTTTTCAGCTCAACAATGGGCGGTCGTCTTGGACCTGTTTGACTGTATTTTGACATCGGCATCAAGAATCATTTCCAAAGACTTAAGAGAAAGAAAGAAAAAAAAAGAAAGAAAGAAAGACAGAAAGAAAGAAAGATAGAAAGAAAAATAAATGAATGTATTTGATTGGCTGATCGTGCATGTTAACGTACGTGTTAAGATTCTGTTCCTGGTCAGTCCCATGTGCTCCAGCGGCTGGTATGGTCGTCTTTCTGGGGGGTGGAGGTCCTGCTGCTCCTCGTTGTCTGTAGCAACACAAAAAACAGGAAGGATTTCAGGAGTAGCTACACTACATTCCGACTATTTCTTAGTAAAAATATGACGACGGCAACGGTAGTGACGATGACGATAATAGTAACAACTAAAGCAACAGCAATGACGACGACGACGACGACGAAGAAGAAGAAGAAGAAGAAGAAGAAGAAGAAGAAGAAGAAGAAGAAGAAGAAGAAGAAGAAGAAGAAGAAGAACAGC